TAAGTTTAGGGTTAGACGACGGATCAACATCATGGCACAAGGGTAGTAACCCATAAGTGGTCCGTTCAACTTCTGTCTCAAACCTGAGCATGAATAATCTCAGCACAGTGCCTGACTCCGTAGCACAGGCGAGGATCCTGAAATACTTTGAATAGATTTTCAACTCCAATTTTGTCCGGCAACGACGTAAGTTTTTTTTTTCGACTTCTAACTGTCAGTGGATTTTTTTTTTTTTACATTTGCAGCAATACACACGGGCGTCCAATCCCACTACCCAGAGACCAGGGCACATTACTGAAGTCCACTTGAAAAAAAAATCACCAGGGACCTCCAGCATTCAAGACGGACATCATGTTTCGAGAACACGCAGCCCTCTAACTCTGAGACTTACCACAAACGCTGCCGGTAATCGTCATAAAGTGTTTAAACCATTTAGCACTTAGTGAATTAAGTCGAGTTATATTTATATATAACACACACACACACACACACACACACACATATATATATATACATACATATATATATATATATATATATATATATATATATATATATATATATATATATATATATATATATATATATGTGTAATATTCATATACGATTCGAACGGCTGTCGTTTAACTAGTTGGTGCAATTTTGCTTCATAGTGTTGGTGGCAAAAAGTTCAAGCTGAAATTTTATTCACAGAATAACAAGTTGTTTCAGCCCAGGATTATATTGACAGGCAAAGAATGAAATGGTTCGGCCATCTAATCAGAATGCAGCCAGACCAAACTGCATATGAGATTGTTTACATAACATCTTGGACGATGGCGAGAGGCAGACCAAGAAAGTTTCGGATAAATGGTGTAGCCGAAGCCTGCAAAAAAAGATGTCGGCTCTACTGGCAAATTTGGCCGGTAAGCGGGACTGCTTCGGCCGGCTTAGCGGGGCTTAGTGGGAGTTATGTCCCTTCGCGTCCCTTCGCCAAACTCAAAACAAGTCGCGGAAAAAGTCACGAATCAAATGACATACTTACCTATCATCATCCGGGTGCGTGTAGGGCTGCGTAGGGTTGCGTCTAGGGTTACCTATCATCATACGGTTGCGCGTAGGGCTGCGTAGGGTGTCTATCATCATCATACGGTTGCGTGAAGGGATGCGTAGGGTGTCTATCATCATCATCATACGGTTGCGTGTAGGGTTGCGTAGGGTTTGGGTTAGCGGTAGGGTTAGGGGTGTGGGTTAGGAGGGGTAGGGTTAGGGTTAGGGGTAGGGTTAGGGGTAGGGTTAGGGGGTAGGGTTAGGGGTAGGTGTAGGGGTAATGTTAGGGTTAGATGATGTGAAAATTTTCACGTAGGAGGTGGAAATACTGGTCGACAATCTGATGCTTGTGGGAGTGGCGCCACTGGAAGTGTGCCAAATATGACGGCAATAGCGCGCGGCGGCTGGTGCCCCAATCGGTGGCGGCGAATTGTCCGTGTCAGTAGCATCCACCGTCCGTCGACTGTTTGCGCGTGCATGCGACTGTGCGCGATTGTAGGGAACTACGGCGTCACAATTGGCACATCTAACGCTACACCTAACCCTACACCCTAACCCTTACCCCTAACCCTAACCCCTAACCCTAAACCCTAAACCCTAACCCTAAACCCTAACACTAAACCCTAAACCTAAACCCTAACCCCTATACGCTAACCCTAACCCTAACCCTACCCCTCATCTATCTTACGCAAACAACCAACTCTACACGCAATAAGCAGCCCTACACGCAACCGTAGGACGATGATAGACACCCTACGCAACCCTACACGCACCCGGATGATGATAGGTAAGTATGCCGTTTGATTCGTGACTTTTTCCGCGACTTGTTTTGAGTTGTTTTGAGTTTGGCCAAGGGACATAACTCCCACTAAGCCCCGCTAAGCCGGCCGAAGCAGTCCAGCTTACCGGCCAAATTTGCCAGTAGAGCCGCCAGACGTTTTCTTTTTCAGACCCGACCTTGGCTCCCAGGTCGACCCAGCCTTTAATTAGTACCAGGTAAAATCCTATAAAAGTAAAGTTGGCCGGTGTGTTGTTTACACAATCGGTCTACAAAATATAGGTGTCTTATTTACTTCATTCTTAGTAAATACGCCTGATGAAAAGGGACTTAACTTTAGCTACCGCCTGACTCCGCATTAAAAAAAAATTGTTTAAAGTAAAGGACCCTTTTCCCCGCCTTTAGGCGTATAGGGCATTTAGGGCTAGACCTATATTTTTTATAGACCAATCGGCACAAGATGTGGCATCACGAAGGCCGCCTTTACTTCCGGGGACTGCACCCGGTACCCACTCAAGGATGGGTCGACCAGGGAGCCAAGGTCATTTTTGAAAAAAGTCCGGCTCCGCCAGGGAGCGAACCCACGACCTTCCGATCCGCCGCGAGCGTCTAGCCGCTCCGCCACGAGGATTCCATGACCCCGCATAAACCTGTTACTAAATATATGCGAACTATGAATACATCAGGCTCCAGCCCTCCTTGACTTTCCTCACTCGGGAAAAGAATGTAAATATCATGTGACTAAGGTAATAGAAGCAGACAACTACATTCAAAACGAACCCAATAATATGCGGAAGAATTTATGACACGACGCCAGTGTGCGAGGAAGGATGTGCAGACAAGCATGATAAGATAAAAACGTTGCAACACATCGGGAAATTAGCAAGTTGCCACTCGATGGCAATCTGCAACAGCAACCCTTCGTTTATACGTGAGCTATACAGAAAGCGCTTTCGTTAACCTCTAGAAAGAGGAACAGTTCGTCGTGTCGATGAACCGATGACTGGCCTCATACTCGATTAAACTTTTCAAAACTCTTCTACTTCTTATTTGCGATCGGTTTCATAAGCTCAGATTCCCCATGTGTGTTGCGGGGTCCCATTGTGGTGAAAACAAGAATAGACCAACTGCCTTCCTAACAAGCATATAGTAGGAGTCGGGGACTTCCTTTGAAGTCGGAGTGAATTTGCTCGAGCGGCAAGGAACAACCAGTTGCATACAAATATGCCAGTAAAACGGATGTACCCGAAAAAATCAGGTCCTGGCATGAATCGAAAGTCCAAATGGATAAACAACAAGACTTTCTGCCGGAGCTTAGAAATAGTGAACAAAGAAGAAGATATTCTGAAATTATCAGTTGTGTTGCCTCCATGAAATGACACGTCAGCAGCAAGTATTGTTTGTCCTCTTCTCTCTTTAGCCATGTCTTTTCTCGCAGGTTTTGCTGTAGGAAAACATTCTATGTGCTCGGTTGTTAGGGAGACAAATTATAAAAGTTGGCTGCGCCATCTACACGATGAAGACTGGCTGCAGAACACAGATATCTGTGTGAAAATATTACGGAAAATATTAGGCTGCGACTGATGTATCACTGCCGAAACGTCAGGAGAACGGACCTTAGTCTTTAAAAAAATCAATGTTCTTGGCTTAGCTTGCTTTGCGGAAAAAAAAATTGTCACGTTCAACCAGCAGCCCAAAAGGAGGAGCGTTGGTTATAATTGCGACTAGGTTAAGAGCGCCATATGAAATGGCATAAAGTTGATCGCCACCAAGTAGCTATAAAAAGAACTCTTGCAGTGCTAATGCGATCAAAGGAGAGAGACCCGAATACTGTCCTGACCGGCGACGAAGTCGTCAAACAGCCAGCTAGTGGGTGGTTTGGTCGCCGATTAATAAATTTTCGTTGTGGAATGCGAACCGCAGTAGGTTGGAGAATCGTGTGACTGTGAAACGCATTCACTAACCTCTATGCCATATGACCGCACTGAGGAATTACATTATCATATCGATGTCCGAGGCAGACCAAGAAGACAATGGAGAGATAGTAAACATGCAGATCTGCAAAAACTTTGAGTCACCAACTGGACAAAAGAGGACTAAAAACATATGAATGGAGGCAGGCGATATCTGCAGTAATGAACCTCAAGGGCCTGGAATGCTGAAGCAGAAGAACATAATGATGTCAATCATACGATGAGTCAAGATACGATGATTTATGTCCCAATTTCAACGTAAGCTTAATATTTTTACATTAAATGGTTGTTTTGTTTCCTTCTTGCCTTCTAACGTTTATTTGTAAGTTACACACATATCGCACACTATCCTTACCCGCCTCTAGCACCAAAGAACATCAGTCCATTATATAGTGTGGCCATTTAAAAAATAGTATGTGCTTTTTCTTACAATGAAGGTTGCGTACGGTGCTCCTATTGCTATTTTTAGGGAAACATTTTACGTGTTGAAATAAGGTTCAAATTTCTTCCACGGTGATACTCTCGTGCAGAAATACAAGGTTCTTTTTTCCCCACATACAGTTTATTTTTTAAACAGTTCCCTTTGCCGGAAAGAGCGAACCTAGTATTTCATACAGAATCTATGTCTAGAATTTCTAGAACATCTCAGGATAACTTGCCTTCGGTACATGATTTCGTTAGACGTTGTAATGGCTGTTAAAAAGTAAAATTTTTATAATTTGATAAGAAATCATATATGAAGGCACCACATTCTATGGCCGGAAATTGCTGACTTTCGATCTTAAACGTCCAGTTCTTAATTAGTCAACTAATCACACTGTTCTGTTGTCAAAGCTTATGTCTGTGAAGTTCACTCATGTTTTCGTTTTTTGTAGGGCAATCAGCTAGGACAGCAAAAGATAAAACAACGGCGACGGTGCTATCAACAGGAAGAGCTTGTGTATGTAAGAGGTCAGAGAGAGAGAGAAAGAGAGAGAGAGAGAGAGAGAGAGAGAGAGAGACAGACAGACAGACAGACAGACAGACAGACAGAGAAAGAGAGTGGGGGGGGGGGGAGAGTGGGGAGAGAGAAAGAGAGGGGAACTGAACGAGATCGCGTATAATATAGTACTGTTGATTAGTAAGTGGTCTTTTTGAGTAAAAAGTTTCTGTTAAATGTCATATCAACAAAATATAACATAGAATATAGTTATAAACCATTTTTATTCATTCACAATTACTTCGAAACTTTAAAAAACTGCTTCGACTTCTGCAGCCATTTCGTGTCCAAAATCTTCCTGGATTTTATTTTCTTATTCGTTGCTGGAGATGAAGAAGAGGCCTCTGCTCCCGTGTGACCTGATGCTTGTTGAGTGCTCTCTTGTTCTGATTGCATGTCTGACTGAAATGATGACTGTGGGGACTCTATGGATGCAACATACACTTGTGAAATGAGAAAACGTGTTTCATCCAAGGCAGGGCTTATAGCTGCTGATATCGACTGTTTACACAATGCCTCAATTGTTTGGTTATGTCGTCTACTTGTTCGAAATTTGCCGGGCGAGGGAGATTGCTGACTGATCTTATCTTTAGAAAGTCTTTCAGATTTCCATTTAGATTTTATTATCACCTCGGCATGCTGGGGGCATGGAGATGCGGGAGCTGATGCCGATTGTGTCAGTAAATCTTTATTTCGTTTTGTTTTTACCTTTGAGGCACCACTGCCCGTACCTGCGCCATTTCTGTGATCCTCACAGGGCAGTTCATGATCCGTGGTTTCAGCTGATATGCCTAGGAGCAGATGAGGACTGGTGGACATCTGTGTGTGAATGCTATCATCTTCTATTAATGATCGCGAGGAAGATATGTTTAGCTCAGGGTTCACAGCCGGTGCTACGCCGTCGTTCTTCTTGGCTATCTGTGTCAAATCTTCTGGAGCTGATAAACTGTTGCACTGCTGGGTTTTTTCGGAGTCGTTTACGTTTCTGAAAGGATGCTCTCTTTCCACATCATTGTTAAATAAATGTATTAATTGTGTTTTCTGTTTTTCATTGACTTGTTCATTTAAATCAGAGGAGCTAGAGTTTGGCAAGCTCTGGGACAGCAGATGTGTGCAGCTGCGCTGGGCATTTTTTGTTTGTGAATAATCTTCTTCGGTTCTTTTGTGCAGTGAATCAGTGTTGACCCTAGATCTTGAAGTATCTGCAAGAGACGTGTCTTGAGAAAATCTGTTTGTATATGTATAAGACATACTTTCTTTATCCAAAATTTCGTCTCTGTTTATCCTGTGACTATTATTGGAGTTGGGTTCTTGACTGTCTTCTCCTTGCACGCTTTCTTCGTTAGAGCTGAACCTCTGATCATCCCCTTTTCGTGTGTGATCGTTTTTGGAGCTGGATGTCGGATTATTTTCTTTTGGGGTTTGATCTTTTGCGCAGCTGAACTTCGTGTTGTCTCTTTCCAGTATGTGAGCTTTTATAGACGCGGATGCCTGATTGTCTCCTTCCAGTGAGTAATCTATCATTGATCTTAAATTATGTGTGTCTCCTTCCTGTGTGTGATCTCTATAGTTGGGCTTCTGATTGTCAACTACTGGCAGGTGATCACTTGCCAAGTAAGATTTCTGAATGTCTACGTTCTGCATATCATAGTTTATAGAGCTAGACTTCTCACTATCTCCTTCCAGCACGTGCCCTTTTTTAGAACAGGGCTTCTGAGTGTCTGCTTCCAGTGTTTCATTTGTTACGCGAGACGTCTGATTATTTTCCTTTGGTTTGTAATCTACTGTGGAGCTGCATTTCTGGTTGCTTCCTTCCCATGTACAGTCACTTGCGGAGCCAGGTGTCTGTCTGCCACCTTGTCTGCCACCTTCCATAGTGTCATCTACTGTGGATCTAATGGGCTTTTTTAAAACACCTGCCCCGTGAGCTGTGTGACCAAGTATGTAACGTCGACTCTCTGCCAACAGCTCGGCTGACGGTTTTATTCTGGACACTCGAGAAACGAGCCCTACTCGAGGCAGGTGTAGTGTCGGACTTGGTACCTTCCTCACAGTAAACTGAGGGTCTTTAGTATTACATTCGTTAGCTCGTGTTTCAAACTTGCTCACCACTTCCTGTAGCGGCTTGGAAGTAATGAATCCTGATGCTGAACGATCCATGTCACCGACACTTTTGGATCTGGGTCCCCTTTCTTTGACGGGGAAGGCAGGTGAAGAATATTTGACAGGTGAGACGTGAATGGGTAAAGGCGGTTTCCCTTTCATGAAGTCGTGACTGTCCCTTGGAGAAGCTGTGATGGTCTGTTGAACATCTGTGTTCTCTCTCTGTTCAAGCATTACTTCGCTCTTGTCAAATAAAGCTGGCGAGAGATCAGAAACAATATTGCTAGTATAACTACCTGATTTTAAATTATATTCAGTGTTGCCACTTTGTTGAGATCTGCTGTCAGCTCGTTTAATTTCTTCTTGTTTAGAGTCAAGGTTAGTCTGTTGCGTACACTGAGCAATCTCAGGACATTCTGGCACAGACAGTGGTGGCTGACTTTGAAGAGACTGTAAGTTCTCTAATTCAGGTTTCTGCAAACTTACATGGCCAGGAGCGTCAGGAACAGAAGTAGATGACGAGCTATTATTATCTTGGTGTTTCCCAGCTAAACGTATCGGACTAGACACCCCAGCCATTTTCTGCTTAAGAGGATACACCTCTTTTTCAACTTCACACTTCACCCTTCTCAGTTCAGCAATTTCAATGTGTAGTGGAACCGAGTCACAGACAGTAGTAAATTCAGGCTGGGTTAATGCCTTCTTCGGTAGGTTATTCTTTGTTAGTGTGTTTAGTTGTGTTGACTGCACTAACGATGTTTCATCAACTGCACCATTCGCTGAGTCAGTTTCACTAACTGATTTTAAACTGTTTTCCAAAAAGAAGGTAGAGTCTTTCTGTATTTCACTAGAACTCACAAAGGGTAGCTCAGAGGGACACTTTTTCGACAGAACCTGATTAGCAAACTCTGAAAACTGAGGTGACGATAAAGTTGTGTGCTCACTGCCTGCGATGGGAGCTACGACAGGCCGCTGGGTCAAGCCAGTTTCCAGACTGCTGACTCTGGTTTCTCCTCTACAAGCAGAGTGATCGTCGAAAGTCTCTACCTGGTCTGTGAACTCGTCGCCCATTCCCTCCTTAGCGAAATGCAGTTGTACGCCAACAGCTGCAGGCAAGTGAGTCAATGAGCCATCTGTTTTATCAGCTGTCAAAGGCGATGCAGATGAAGAACTTGCAGGTGGCGCTGGTGTCACTTCCTCTGAAGAGAAACAACGTAAGCATAAGAGCAAATCACTTTTCTAGATCTTAAATATACTTCTGCCATTTTATCTCCAGTAGAGCAAAGGACTTGAACAAACTAATGCCAAGTCATTTCAACATTTGCCACTGTAATTTACCACATTACTAAATAATCACTATTTTCTTTTCTTTATTTTAATTTAAAAAAATTTTTTTTTTCAAACCCTGCCATTCCTTTAATGTGTGAGTTGTAGTGCAAGGACTTTTAGTTTTATGAGAAGTCTTTACATGAAAACCTTACAAGTGTGATAGCAATCACAATAACAATGTCACTGTTTTCTAGACTAGCAATATTGCTAAGGATGTCAAAAGTGTTAAGTACATGAAATCACAGTGCAGATGAATACTGTGACACCATAATGACAGTTTGAAGTTAACCACTCCATTTTTGACATGCACCAAAGAGAAGCAGCATTCTGTTGATAGTTTTCTGATCAGCGAGAGATGAAGCCTTTAGAAAGTCATCGGCGAATGAAGGTTCAGTGCGGTGATTGCATGCCTGTCAGTCCAGATTCGACTCTGGGGTCACTACTTGGTGTGCTTGACATAGTCGTCACAAGTCTGTCCTAGAAGAATATTTAATATGGAGTATATCTGACAAATTCTTGTCTACTGTGTCACGTAGAGTAAAGTAAGCAAATGACTTTTTATGCGCTATATATGATGCTATACTCATATTTTGTAATATTCATCGGTTGATGATATGGTCAACATCACGTCGACTGCCTTCACATAGCCTGGTACCCATTTTATGATTCTGTCGATTTGGGAACCAAGGTCAATTAAAAAAAATATGATTCGATGCCAGTTCGCACCCCGGGTCTTCAGTGAAGTGAAATTCAACTTCACTAAGACCACAAACTCAGTAATTAACACAATGTGACCCAAAGTGCAAGGCGTCCTAGCTCAAATGAATCTCTCAGGCACAAATCGCCGAAATCCCGTTCAATCGTGAAGAATATTAGGGATCCCAACGGTTACAAAGTTGGAGTCGCCGTGGCGTAGCGGCTAGACGCTTGCGTGCGGATCGGAAGGTCGTGGGTTCGCTCCCTGGCGGAGCCAAACTTTTGTCAAAAAAGACCTGGACTCCCAGGTCGACCCAACCTCGAATGTGTATCGAGGGCAGTCCTGGGAAGTAAAGGCGGCCAGCGTGATGCTGACCACATCACCCATCTTGCGCCTATTGGTCTATTAAAAAAATAGGTCTAGCCCTGTATGCCCTATACGCCTACAGGCGTAGAAAAGGGTCCTTTACTTTACTCACAGTTACAAAGTAACCTGGTGAGGCAGGGTAGGGTTGTGTATTATTCCATAACCTTCGGCCCAGAAGTCGAGCGTGCAGATTCTCTTGTACATATGTTCAGGAACTCATTCGGGTCTTTGAGCAGCTTGTTTCACAGCATATTCATAAAAACTGACAAATTAAAATGTTATTGTCAGTTTATCATAAAACATAATTAAGCGCATAAATACAGAGACAAATGTCGGTAAAATTTAAAAACATACAAAAGATAAATGCGGACAATTTAATAAGTATACTCACACTGCATCCTCATGTACGCGTGCAGGAGAACAAGAAAACAAGTCTACAGAAATCTCTCACTACCTATACAGACTAGTAAGCTACTTGGACTCATCATCATCATTTATATCATCATCATCATCATAATTACCCTCACCACTAACGCTGTCTTGCTTTTGTTATTTTTTTTCCTATAACTTCTTTCTATTTTTTTCTCATGCTTCTTCTTCTTTCCTCTTCTTCTTCTTCTTCTTCTTCTTCTTCTTCTTCTTCTTCTTCTTCTTCTTCTTCTTCTTCTTCTTCTTCTTCTTCTTCTTCTTCTTCTTCTTCTTTTTCTTCTTCTTTTTTCCTCCGTTTTCTTCTTCTTCTCCTGTTTCTAGTAGTTCTTCTTCTTCTTCTTCTTCTTCTTCTTCTTCTTCTTCTTCTTCTTCTTCTTCTTCTTCTTCTTCTTCTTCTTCTTTTTCTTCTTCTTCTTCTTTTTTTTTCCCTCCGTTGTCTTCTTTTTCTCCTTTTTCTAGTAGTTCTTCATCTTCTTCTTCTTCTTCTTCTTCTTCTTCTGTTTCTTCTTCTTCTTCTTCTTCTTCTTCTTCTTCTTCTTCTTCTTCTTCTTCTTCCTTCTTTCTTCTTCTTCTTCTTCTTCTTCTTCTTCGTCTTCTTCTTTCTTCTTCTTTCTTCTTCTTCTTCTTCTTCTTCTTCTTCTTCTTCTTCTTCTTCTTCTTCTTCTTCTTCTTCTTTTTTTCTTCTTCTTCTTCTTCTTCTTCTTCTCCTTCTTACTTTATTCTGCGAAGTAGCATAGATCCTAGGCCAGATCTAGCCAAGGCATATCTTTCGCTGTTCTCCAGTCTTTTTGATTACAGTCACTAATTCGCTTTTCCATCGGTTCTCCATCTACATTGATTTCTTTGATGATAAAGACTCCAGTGTAATGCAATTACAGTTACATGATTAAAGCGCTGTTTATAATTTCATATTCATTTTCCCGAGCATCACAGCTCTTTTCCTTAAAAAAAAAGAACATTTAAAAAAATGTGTCTGTGTCTATGTCACCAAGAACTTCCTATAGAGAATTATCTTAGGCTTTTATGAAAGGTGCTCTCGACTTTTGTGAACTTACCTGTTTGGTATGGAATGTTGATAAGTGGTGTCTCAAGCTGTCTGGGTCTGGCCTCCTTCTGTGTGCCAGCTTTCAGATATGTCGATGTTACTGCAGAAGAGGAAGTCTGCATCTGAAAGTGACAAGGGCAAGAACTGCAGTTAAAAATATGTTAAAGTTATCTGCGCTTGTGTGGGTATGTCATGTTCTAATGCGGTCTTGACATTTGTGTATGTCTTTCTTTTTTAAGGTAAACCCTGAGGTACAAGGGAAGTCGCCGTGGCATAGCGGCTAGACGCTCGCGTGCGAATCGGAAGGTCGTGGGTTTGCTCTCTGGTGAAGTCAGTTAAAAAAAAATGGTCTTGACTTCTAGGTCGACCAAGCCTTAAGTTGGTACCGGGTCAATCCCTGGAAGTAAAGGCGGTCGGCCTGATGCTGACCACATCACCCCTCTAGTGCCGATTGGTCTATAAAATATAGGTCTAGCCCATTGTGCCCTATACGTCTAATGCGTGGAAAGGGGACTTTTACTTTTTACTGACGTACAAGTCAAGATAGTGGGTCTCTTGTCCCCATTTTGTGGACAGTGATAAAGGGAGGTAATAGAATAGACCCATTGTCCCATTAAACACACGTCGTAAAGTCGACTAATTAGGGGTGTTTCCTTCGAAATCGGAGTGCATATGCATGAGAAGCAATGAACCAACAGTCTGCATGCAAGTAAACAAGATCTGTAAAACGAATGTACATTTAAATCTGAGGTTCTGGAACAAGACTGAAGTCCAGTTGTGGACGAACAACCAGAACTTTCTGCTTGAGTTTACAACTGGTGAAAGCCAAGAAGAAAAAGAAGAATCTGGTGTACAAGTCGACCTCCAAATTGTTAGCTTACAAATCCAAATGTATCCTTTATCTGCCTAACACATTTTATACCCGCCTATATGTCAAGCACTGGTTTTGGAAAGCTTTTAAAGAGTGAAACCTGGACTTGTATACGCCCCAGTTTATGGTGATTTTATGTGCGCTAATTCACAGTTGTGTACCGTATGCCATACACAAGGCAGTGCAATTATTTGACTACATTCTTCCTCAGCCCCTTGTGGGATGCAATATTTCGTTATTTTGAAGCACCACCCTGGCCTTAATATAACCTAACGGTTGAATGCAATTTCCGGGACCTCTTCACGGGTGATCCTCATCCGCATGGAGGCGATTTGGGTCACTGGGTGTTTATCGCTTTGTTTGTTGTCTTGGTGGTGTAACATTTACTTACGTACTTACTATTATTTGACATGACACACATTATCAGTGTTTCTTTTTGTTTTTGTTTTGGTAAGCCGATAATTTATGTTTAATTTAGTCAACCTGGTGTCTCGTATACTGTCTTGTGCGTATGTTCTTCATATATTAAAACATACCCTCTTTCTATGTATACCTGCACCTAACCCACCCCACTAATCACTGTAACAAACTGCATGTTTAATAACAGCAATGTAGGCCTGAACGCACACATATACATATTTATATAATACATGGGTAAATACGAACATATGTAAGCATATACATATCTACATTACTACATACATTACTACATACATACATACATACATACATACATACACTCACATACATACATACATATACATACATACATATACATACATACACACACACACACATTACATACATTACATACATACATACATACATACATACATACATACATACATACATACATACATACATACATACATACATACATACATACATACATACATACATACATACATACATACATACATACATACATACATACATACATACATACATACATACATACATACATAAGTACATACATACATACATACATAACATACATACATACATACATACATACATACATACATACATACATACATACATACATACATACATACTACATACATACATACATACATACATACATACATACATACATACATACATACATACTACATACATACATACATACATACATACATACATACATACATACATACATACATACATACATACATACATACATACATACATACATACATACATACATACATACATACACACACATACACACACACACATATATATATATATACACACATACACACATACATACACACATACACACATACATACATTCATACACACATACATGCAAACCTATTAGACATAAAACACACTGCCTGTTTCAAACAAATACTGTCAAAGATACCAGCTGAAACATACACAAATACCCGCACCTGTTGCCTCTGTCTCTCTGAGGTACCGGATGTGTACCACTTTTTGGCTGTGCCAAAAATCTTGGCTTCCTGAAACTGATACAGTTCTGTCTCTTTCCTGGTGATGTCGGCCTGCAGGAGCAAGTTGTTAACTTCTTGCAACAGAAGCTGTCGTTTGATCACCATGATTTCACGGTTCCTCTCTAGGTGGCTAAGTCTGAGGTTATTCATCTGAGGAATTTATATATGATAGATAGTACATAATGCTCTTAACTGTGGGATTTTCACTGGTATATGAATGCGGCAATTGTGAGGTGACCCGTTTGCATTGAAGTTGAAACCATGACTAACGACCCATATATGCAGTAGAACCTCAATGTGTGTTGACCACAGGGGGACTCTAGCAAACGGGTCAACTTATGGAGGTAATCAACATACGGAATGAAGCCTATACTACTGATACTATACTTCATTGAACACTTTATACTGAAGAATACAGTGTCATATGAAATCATAACCAAATCAAATCTGTTTCTTCTTCTTCTTCTTCTTCTTCTTCTTCTTCTTCTTCTTCTTCTTCTTCTTCATCTTCTTCTGAAGATGTGACTGCGTGGTGTCCGTTTTCAGTATTTCTGCGATATTTGCTACTTTAGGCCGACACATCCGACTTCTGCAGGCGTTTGTTGACCGTGTTAGTCTTCCCGGGAACATGAAATCATTTACGTTCAGGATTCAGTCGTAATTTCTAGAGAAAGGAGTCAGTGTTGGTCGGTATCCTATTATTATTATTACAAAAGTGTGTGAAAGGTCTGAACCCCCCCCCCCCCCACCCCCACTAATCATGTATAGAAGCAGAGCCGCTAGTACCTCGGAGCTTAGGCCAGTTGAGCCACAACTCCCCCCTCGCCGTCCCCCCACCCCCCTTTGCCGCCCCCAACCAATCATGTATAGGAGCAGAGCAGCTAGTACCTCGGAGCTTAGAACCCAACTTGAGACCACAATACACCCCCCAACTCCCCCCTCACCGCCCCCCCCCCCTTCGCCGACCCCCCCCCCCCCAACCAATCATGAATAGAAGCAGAGACGTTAGTTCCTCGGGGCTTAAGTCAGTTGAGCCACAACCCCACCTCGTCGCCCCCCCCTCCCATTGCCGCCCACCCAATCAATCATGTATAGAAGCAAAGACTTTAGTTCCTCGGGGCTTAAGCCAGTTGAGCCACACCCCCCCCTCCCCCTCACCGCCCACTGACCCCCTAAAAATTTGTAAGAGGACTCTCCTCCCAATGCTTTTTTTTTGGGGGGTGGGGGGGGGGGTCGCCTTTATAATAACTGACTTTGAAGCGGTATTTTCTTTTTCTTGTAATTCTTCCGACGAGTTTTGCCGCAATTTAGGTGGTCGGGCAGTGATTTAAAGTCTTCTAGTGTATTGTCACTGTTCAACGCAGCTCATTTTAAGCTTCCTTTAGCGAAATCAGAGGGATATTTTCTATCTTCGTTCCGGGACGCCATTATGGGCAAAACCAGAATAGACCCCCTGCCGCCTCATCAACCATGCCGTAGAAGTCGACTATTTTGTTGGCTTCTATCCGATGGGCAAGAAACCAAGAGCCCGTATACAAATAAACCATATCGGCTATCTTCCAAATAACGGTCCCAAATTATCGAGGCCGAAAATATACCCTAATAGGGCCTCAGTCATGTGTCAATTGCGCGCGACGAGGATTGGGGCTAAACTAGATGACTGGGACAAGCAAATAAAATGAAGGAAGCTGCAGGAGATGCAGTAGCTGCTGCTAGTGAGTCCCAGCCATTTAGTTTAGCCTCAATCCACGTCGCGCGTAGCGGCGTGGGAGATACTACTAAGCGGTAGCGTTAGTCGCCGGAAGTGCCCAATTTAAGTCGCAAGAAGTTCGCAATTGACACGTGACTGAAGCCCTGTTGGGGTATATTGTCGGCCTCAAAATTTTGGGACCGTTTTTCGGAAGATAGCCACCATATCCATTAAACGAATGTACACGGAACTCTCACGTCCCGGAGAGGATGCTGTGTGGTCTCGAGACATGGTGTCTGCCTAGAGTGCTAGAGGTTCCGGGTTCAATCCCCGGTAAGGGCTGGGATTTTTGTCACGTGTACGGACTTCTAGTAATTCCCCTTTGTTTATGGGTAGTCAGATCGGACGCCCGTGAGCCTTGTTGCGCATGTAAAAAGTCCCTTGGCAGTTGGAAATCGAAAAGAGTAGCCTAACGGTGCTGCCTGGGCAAAATTTGGAGTTAAATCTACCCAAAGTATTTCAGGATCCCCGCCGGTGCTATAGAGTATGTGCACTGTGCTAAACTTCTTCGGACTCAGACTTGAGCTAAGAAGAACGGAGCACTTATGGATTACACCCGTGTGCATTGATGTTGATCCGTTGTTGTTCATAACCTCAAACCGATTTAGCTAAGAATTCTGGTTTTGCAAGTAGTTTATTTTTTTTTTAATTTGTAAATAGCACTAGTTATATTTGACCGTATCGAATACTTACCTGTACTTGAAGCTTCATTGCCTGGGCATAACGGGTCTCAAAGTTAGACAGAGCCATTATCTTATCATTGTACTCCTCTGTAAATATACAAACACCAAAGATATCATCTTTAACATCATCACCATCACTTACTAATCACTTGAATACCGCGTAGACCCCTTTGACCGCACCAATACCAAATGTTTTCTTTTTGATAATGATGAGGAAAATCAGAAAGAAAAAAAAGAGATCAAACTATGAAAGAATGGTAGCAACATCATGATCTGGTTATTACTTCACTAGCTTGCCAGTACAGAACAAAAACATAGTTATTTCATGTTTACGAAATCTAGAACGTTGTGTGCGTTGAAGCAAAAAACTTTTTTGGCAACCTTTTACTGTGATCAGATAACGAATTCCTTCGTGTAGCAGCTGTAGCAAACGGCAGCACTAATAACTAGAGAATAGTTGCATTGCCCTAATGTCAATTCAGTAGCGGTGGACAGGGCGTAAATACAAAGGACAACTGCAAACATTCATTGACTTCTGCTGGCGCAGAACAAAAGGATTGAAATGGTATAATTAAAAACAAACATATGTGGAGCTTCGGGAGTGGGGGGGGGGCAGGGGAGGGTGGGGGGGGGTGGGGATGGGCGGCGGGCAAAAACAAATTATAGGAATCAAAACACAAAGAAAAGACACTGCCGTCAGAACTGACAAACGTCGAGTAAACCTGTGAATAGTATAACTAGAATGTATTTACACTGGAACCAAGATGGGCCGAAAGGCCCAAACACTAATGGAGAAGGGAGCTAGAGAGTAACATAAAAAAAAAACAGGAAGGACGTGGAGTGAGCTGCAAGCGACATGATGAGTTAGCTGGGAGCCTATGCTCCAATGGGGGGGGGGGGGGGGGGGGGGGGGGGGGGGGGGGGGAACAAGGTAGAAAACAAGTTACATTCTGAAGGAAATGTAATTTTTTTTCGGGAATTATATGATCACACACACACACACAAAAGTAAATGTAAACATAACCATTAAACGCTTCATAGAAGAGGAGAGAAGAAATATACTTTAGTGAGTATGTTATTTATCTGAAACATCTGAGTCTTGGGCGTAATGATACAGCTAGGTTGTAAACAGGTAATATTGAATTACCAGCTTGTGAGAAATGCGAAGTTAATATATTAAAACGAATAGCAACAAGTGCGGAGATAAACATTACATTTTCAATCAGTCAGGTGCCATCTCCACAATGATGGTTGGCTGTAACAGATTTTCAACGCTCTGAATCTCACGATGACGGTGTACTGTTTGCCTGCTGTTTTTCCACCTGTACGCGTCTCAAAACCTGAGTCCGAAAGGGTACTTATCTCCAGGGGCATCAGAACCTGGGGGTAGGGGGGTCTAGGTGACTTACAACCCCCCCTCCCCTCACCAACCATGACAATTTGTGAGATGGATTAAGCGAACCTCCCAAACGGATAAAACATTGAGCTCTCTCTTTGTGTGGTATTGTGTATGTGTATGTTTGTGTGTGCGTGTGTGTGGTGAATATATTTTACATAGGCATTTATAAATTCCACATGTATGTTAAGAGTCACTACGCCAAAAAAAATTTTTTTTTTATTTACAGAGTTAGAGTAATTATTTTATAATGGTCATTTGAAGGGATACATGTTATTACATTTGCATACTTTAAGTGTGAAAAAATTATGGTTGTCATGGCAATAGCCGCCATCTTGGGGGGAAAACAACACGTACTTAAAATCCTAAAATTTTGAAAACAAACATAGGTATAAAACAATAGATGATAGATTCATGACCGTTTGTTCTATTTAGAGGTACAGGTGTAGTTTATTTACTTTAAACATGTTTTGAAATATTTTTCGTATAATTTTAAAATGTAGTTTGATTGAAAAAGTCCAAAAAAATCTTGCAACATAAGACAATAATCAAATTTTAAAAAAACCAAAAGTTTCTAAAATCTACTTTTAAAAAGACCAGTCCCTCTAATATTGTTTAAGGAGTATCCATACTAAATTTCATGTTTCTCGTCTTCATATTAGATGAGATGGCAAATATACGTCGTATAGTTCAGTGCTTCCATACCTTTTTATACCTGCGCCCTACCAAAACAGTGGAATAAATGCTTTCGCGGACCAGTGCTGGGTTTAGTCATAAGTTAACTAAGCTACAGATTAAGGCATCACAATCTGCAAGAGCCTAAAAAAATTTTTTTTAGGGGAGAGGGGGGGGGGGGGGTCCAAATAAAATTTCCTTTTAATAAAGCTTTTAAAATTTTTATGTAACATATGTTGATGAAAAACTGGTCAGAGAAATTAGCACGAGATGTACCAAAGATAATCAAGTACTGGGGCAACTATCTGCCCCGTTGACACACAAGCAGACACCCCGGAGCTAACACTATGCTATCAGTGCCAAACGTGGACAGTTAAATTTTCTAATGAACGTAAAAGTGTGACAACAGAGATGAAATACCTTAGAAGAGCTGCAGACGTTTTAAAGAATGACAGAGTACAAAATCACGAAATCAGACGAAAGCTAGGAATAAAGCCAGTCTTACAGGTCATCAAAGAACAACACATGAAGTGGTTTGAACATCTAACAAGAATTTCCGATATAGCATATGATACCACAACATCCAGCTTAAGAATGGAGGTGGAGGCCGTCACTGCAGCTTTCCGCTGACTAGAGAATACGACACACACACTGATTGTAACTGACCCAGAAAGCATGCTGAGAAAGATCAGGACAGGCATGCTTCATGCAGAGTGGAATGTCTCGCTACGGAGGACACGGGTGAAGAGCATTGTCTGGATTTGTTCACTAGGGCACGCTGGTGTTTTGGGAAATGAACAGGCGGTCAGACTGGCTGGCTCTGCACAACTTGGTGGAATACTGATGCATGAAAATGCAGACGTGGTTAGCGCCTTGTGGGAGAGCGTGTACAGTTCGGAGGAGCAGATGAATCACCACAGTCTAGTGAGATTTATGCATGGGGGAGCGACGAGAGGTTCTGGCAGATGCTCGAGGCTCAGAGGAAAGGGAAGACGGATGTTCAATCAGAATGCTACTAGCACCATTAGTATCGGAACTCTTCGCTGGCTGCTGAAGATGGGGACAGAGCGCTTATTGGAATGCCCCGAGAGCTGTGATGTCGGCTCTTGAATCAAACCAAACCAAATCAACAAGAATGTCCAAGTATTTTTTTTTTATTTACCACAGCGAGCCACACTGAAACGTTAGAATGAGTGTAGAGCGAGCGGAAGACCTCGGAAAACATGGAGGGATGACATAAATAACAGCTTTACATAAATGAACATTAGTCTTCAAAATGTTACACCCCCCCCCCCCTCCCGGACACATCGCTGAGGTACAAGGCCGAAGGGAAGAAAAAGAAGAAGAAGAAGAAGAAGAAGAAGAAGAAGAAGAAGAAGAAGAAGAAGAAGAAGAAGAAGAAGAAGAAGAAGAAGAAGAAGAAGAAGAAGAAGAAGAAGAAGAGGAAGAAGAAGAAGAAGAAGAAGAAGAAGAAGAAGAAGAAGAAGAAGAAGAAGAAGAAGAAGAGGAAGAAGAAGAAGACGAAGAAGAAGAAGAAGATGAAGAAGAAGAAGAAGAAGAAGAAGAAGAAGAAGAAGAAGAAGAAGAAGAAGAAGAAGAAGAAGAAGAACAGATTCAACAGTCCTACATACTTGATTGTGAAGCTTCTATCAGCATATTCCTCATTTCTTCTATTAACTCCAGCAGCTGTTTATGGACAGTGTCCTCGGCTTCTATGCTCTGCCACTTGCCAATCTGCAACACATAAGTTATGTATCCCAACGCTGTCGTATGATTGAGTTTCTATATTCTTATCTTTGGCTACTCGTTACAGTCAAAAGAATACATTTACTGATAAATATTTAACTCAACTTTGACCTAGCTGCAGTCGGCGTGATGTTGGCCACATCATCCACCTAGTGCTGACTAGTATATAAACAGAGGGCTAGCAATGAATGCCTAAATGTCTTTTACATTACTACTTCACATTCACCCACTCATCCATCCACCAACCCACCAACTGACCCATGACTATGATTAATTATTAATCCCTACAAAACACGTTTTAGGCCTCTAGAAGACCCTCTCCTTCTGAAATTTCTATAAGATTTAACCCCCCCCCCCCCCCCCCCCCTCGGGTCCCTTTTGATATCTTTTTTTTTCCGGCGCCTTCGTGATAGACTTGAATTTTTTATAAAGCAGTCGGCAATAGATGGGTATCTAGTCTAAACCATGCCGACCGCTTTTACTACCCAGAACATTTCTTATCATCCAGGAGCCAAAGCCCATTAGAAATTATCTCTCGCGCTGAGGATTCAAACCCAAGAACACGGGCCGCAAGCGATAAGCCACTCTGCTGTAATGACTGATTCTTTCTAGTTACCCAACAATGAATGTACTTACTGCAGCACTCTCCATAGACGAGGCAAGTTTTTCACCGAAGTTCTCCATCATTTTGATCTTCTCCTCCAGTTCGTCAGCCGTTGCCTCTAGTTCCCCAACTTCTAACTTGACTGGGCCAGCAAACTTACCTTTGGCAAGGTCACTGTGAAAACGAGCTGACAACAAAATGAGTTCTTTCAGTATCAGAAATATGTTACTGTAATTCTGTTCTAACTAGTTCTTATTTTAACTAATAAATGTCAGAGTTCAATAGAGTAATAATTATAACCGCAAGAAAAGTAAAACGTTAAAGTGAAAATGTGTGTAAATTAGTGTAACGTATCAACTGGATGAACCACATAAAGTTGAGAAACGTATATTATTTCAGTTAAAGCAAACACACACCGAGTTGTCTGGTACTGAGATTTAAGGTTTGAACAACGAATTAACATCATGACACACGGGTAGGAACCCATAAGTGCTCCGTTCTTCTTCTAACGCAAGCCTTTGTCTGAAGAATCCCAGGACAGTGCACAGGCTCTTTAGCACCGGCGAGGATCCTGAAATACTGTGGGTAGATTTTTAACTACAAATATTTGCCCGTGTCGCGCCGTTAGACTAATCTTTTCGATTTCCAACTGCCAAAGAATGTTATACTTGCGCAACAGTGCACATGGGCGTCTGAGCTCACAACCCAGAGACCAGGGAGTGATTAACAGAAAGTCCCCTTAAGGGGTATTTAAGCCAGAACCTCTAGCACTAAGCGGACACCATACCTCGAGACCACGCTGCCCCCTGTCTGGTACTGAATAAGCTATGAGTAACAAATTATGCATACACAAGTCAGGCGGGATAAAGAGAAGGGGGAGGGGGGGGTGTTGGCGGGGTGGGGGGTTGCTACTTCTGCTGCTACTACTGCTACTTCAACTATCGCAAGTGCTGTTGCTACAGCAAGGGAAAGAGAAAGGAAAAAAAAGGGCGGGGGGGGGGGGTGTAAAGCCACCGCTTCTAACAATTATGTGGTAAAAGGGATGTTTTTTCTCGAAGCTGGAGTGCACTTGCCTGAGAGGCGAATAACCAACAGTGTGCATTAAACAAATTCAAATCTGTGAAACAGAAGTGCGCCCAAATCTTATGTTCTGGAACAAGACCACAACCCAGAATTGGACGAACAACCAGAGGTTTCCACCTGTGAACGTTGAGAAGAAAAAGAAGAAGAAAATATGAGAAGAAGAAGAAGAAGAAGAAGAAGAAGAAGAAGAAGAAGAAGAAGAAGAAGAAGAAGAAGAAGAAGAAGAAGAAGAAGAAGAAGAAGAAGAAGAAGAAGAAGAAGAAGAAGAAGAAGAAAGAAGAAGAAGAAGAAGAAGAAGAAGAAGAAGAAGAAGAAGAAGAAGAAGAAGAAGAAGAAGAAGAAGAAGAAGAAGAAGGAAAAGAAGAAGAAGATGAAGAAGAAGAAGAAGAAGAAAAAGAAGAAGAAGAAGAAGAAGAAGAAGAAGAAGAAGAAGAAGAAGAAGAAGAAGAAGAAGAAGAAGAAGAAGAAGAAGAAGAAGAAGAAGAAGTTCATAGACTAAAGACTCAAGCACCCTGAGGGCACCCAGCAATGTTAAGGGGGCGGAAAAGAGAGAGGGCTGTGTTCACATCTGAAACCCCAGTAAATTTACAATGGGGCTTAGTGGCTTCCCCATCCATGCATAAAACTTACATTTTAAATAATTTGTTTGTACATGTCGTGTTAGCTCATAAATAGTATTATTGTTATTAAATATGAGCAAATAATAATAATAATAATTATAATAATAATAATAATAATAATAATAATTATTGTTATTTTGTGCTGAATATCAGAAAAATATTAAATTATATTTGATATAATTTGAAATGTATGAACAAAAAAAAAGGAAGTTATCAGCTTTGTGTTTTTAACAAGTTCCTGAGCCCTCTCTCCTGGAATATAGATAAGAGGAGTCATACTCGCCCTCTTCCTTCTCATCCACCTTTTTTTGCTATCAATGATTTATTAGTGGTGGCGACGCTGATCTCGAAACCGCAATCTAGAAGAGGAAAAAGACGAGAGGAGATTAACTGTATTTGCTCTCTGCGAATTATTAATTGAAGCTTAGCCCGTCAACTCCTGCTGGGTACGCTGAGCATTGAAACACTGAGCTGGCTGCTGCAGCAGAATACGAATAGGTCTGACCTATGCGCTAGAATGTCGAAGCAGAGGACAAGTTAATGTTAGTTGCGTATCTTTTACAGGGTGTTGCAGAACCAACAACAGCAATCTTGTGTGTATGTGTGTGTGTGTGTGTGTGTGTGTGTGGATAAATAGTTTTAAAATGCGATGCCTAAGAAAAATACTTGGCATTAAATGGCAGGAAACGATCACAAATACTGGGGTACTGGAAAGAGCAAGTATTACAACAGTTTTTTCAATGCTCAGTTTACGAAGGCTCAGGTGGCTTGGTCACACCTGGAGAATGTAGGATGGCTAAGACCCTAAGGACATGCTCTATGGCGAATTAAAGATGGACAGAAGATGTCGAAGCCGACCTCTACTACAAAATAAATACACGTGCAAGAGGGACATAAATCATGAATGACACAGAACTCTTGATACAACTGTCAAAACCAATGCAAGACGGTCTGCTGCCAAATCACCCCCAGCTTGGATCGAGCCCTGCAGCCCAGCATTACGAAGTGCGTTCGCAACTTAAAAGCCACAGACGCCGACATAACAAGAACAAGTAAAAAGTATTAATAACATACAACATTCCAAGGCACACTTGTTTATATTTTATAATTCTCTTAATACTGCCCGCAAAAAAAAAAAAAAAAGATCGCTGTGCGCTGATCAACTTTGACAGTTCGAGGGTTTCACTAGCAATGTAAAATGAACATTATCAAACGTTCATACAGCTTTCACATTAACTTGATAATATTTTATTTTATATGAACAGAATTCAAGTGCAGCGCACCCCAGAGTTATTATTCGCTGTTAATCACGAAATAACGAATGTTACATCGTTTCTTTCATTGGCCCTTTGAAGCACTTAAAAAACTTAAAAGCTAATCCGGGTAACACTCGTACTGGACGAGGCAGATATTCTGAAGACCATATATGAATGACTGCTGATAGAAGACACGCAGTTAGATGAAAAAACATGTGCAAGAATGTGTGGACAAAGAATTAATCGTAGATCAGGCAAGGAGGGAAGGATGAAAGTAAGAGAACGATGTGTGTATAATCAGTGTGCTACGGGAACTGTTAGCGTCTAAACTTTAAGACATTTGCTGCGGGAGACGGAGCATCTATGGGTATGCCCGGTGTACTATGATGTCGATTCTTAAATCAGTAATCAGAATGCTAATCTGACTGCCCAAGAGGAAGATTAACTGGTGTGATATTTCCTAGGTTCACATTACGCCCATAGATTAATATTTATACCAGAGATGATTAACAGAACATGATATAGGATACTAGAATATACCAAGGCCAGCTGGAGGGATTGTAACATTACACCACTAAGACTATAATAAGTGTTTGGTTGTTATGATGACATAAACAAACGACACATTTACTGGACATCCCTAGGAGGTATCTGATCCTAGCCCCACCGCGTGTGAGTTCCACTGCCCTATTTTAGGACGAAAACAAAAATAGACCCATCGCCCCTTAACCCGCATGTCGTAAAAAGAGATTATTTAGGGCTTGATTGAAATTAGATGCCATGGTTTGAGTGCGCACATATCGCAGCCTACTTGTAAACCACAACCTGCAAATTGCTCCATTTTGGGCGAACAAAGAAGAAGAATAAGAATATGAAGAAGTTTGAAGTCTGAACAACGGATCAACATCATGGCACACAGGTAGTAACCCATAAGTGCTCCGTTCTTCTTCTAACTCAAGTCTGAGTCAGAAGAAGCTCACAGTGCACAGGCTCTGTAGCATCGGTGAGGATGCTGAAATACTTTGGGTAAATTTTTAACTCCAAATTTTGCCAGGACAGCGCCGTTAGGCTACCCTGTTCAATTTCCGACTGCCAAGAGATTTTTTTTTTTACGTGCACAACAATGCACACGGACGTCCGATCTCACTACCCAGAGACCAGGGGGAATGACTAAAAGTCCAGGTACACGTAAAAAATTCCAGCCCTTACCGGGGATTGAACCCAAAACCTCTAGCACTCTAGGAGGACACCATACCTAGAGACCGCGCAGCCAACCAGAAGAAGAAGAAGAAGAAGAAGAAGAAGAAGAAGAAGAAGAAGAAGAAGAAGAAGAAGAAGAAGAAGAAAAAGAAGAAAAAGAAGAAGATAAAGATAAGGAAGAAGACGAAGAAGAAGATGACGAAGAAGAAAAACACTTACCCATTTCTGCGTCATGATCCTCCCTCACTTTAGCCAGTTTTTCGTTGACTTTCCGCACCTCTTCTTGTACGGCAGCGTACTCTACCTCCTTCTTGTGTAGGTTCTCCAGCAACTGGGTGTTCGCTCTCTCCAGCCTGTTGGATATGAAACAAACGGTACAGACTGTATGAATCAACAGGGGTGACAACTCTAGGTGTTTTGTGTATACAAGGCAGAGCATAGAATGACGAAGAAACAGTTCTTTTTCAAGAAAAAGGTGTTTTACAAGAACTTTCTGCAATATATATGTGTGTGTGCGTGCGCGCGTGTGTGTGTGGGAGCTGTTTTTGTGTGTGTGTGTATGTGTGTGTGTTTACAAATATTTTTATTTTTATTATTACTGAAAATCATTTAGTGTAAGATCCAAGACAAGTGACAAGGAGGCGAGCCAGAAAAGTTATTCCCGTCCCATTATTTAAAAATATAGTCGTGCCTATGTGGGATGAATTAATCAAGTAACAGAAAGTATTGTGAACGGCACTCATAGAAAGAAGTAGAAAGATAGAAGAACACACTAGACAACATAAATATCGAAAGCTATAGTTACCGTGCCGGGAATTGAACCTGTCACCTCCAGACGGCGTCTGCGCCTCGCCATGAATACAAGTGCACTAAGATACAAGGATTTCTCCTTCAGAACCAGCAGCACTCAGAGATAATTTTGTTGAGTCGTTTGGCTCGTATTGGTCTAAGGGATTCCCCGTGGCCAATATACGATCAACTTATCTCTGGAGTAGGGCAACTCAAGTATTGGCACTACAAAATATGTCAATATATATATATATATATATATTATATATTTCTAGGCACACTTGGCTGGACACCCCCACTACTTACTAAAGAAAGCCCCCAGGTTATGATAGTTCATTATCATAACCATGTTAACACATATAATGAAGATACACATACATACACACCTGCTAAACACTTAAAAAGGTGAAATAGAGACACCTAAGTCAGCCATGAAAATGAATGTATATAATCAATATAAATTAGATCTATAAAAGTGAGACAAATTGCCAGATCTCAGGAAATCATGTCCAAATCACTAGGATCTACACAGACAGAAGGTCTTGGAGATGACATCTTCTCATCATTGGACACAGGAAGCTGTGAGGAACGCAACATCATGCGAAGCATTTGACTTATCTTCTCTTATCTCTGTCTATGATGCCTCCCTCAGTTCCGGATGATTTGACTGTCTTTGACTCTGGGAATTCTGCTCTACTGGATCAAGTAGCAAGAGTATTTCACTGTACAGCAACTGTACTGGTATCTAGCATGTCTATATCACCAGTAAGGACACACAATGTCTTAGAGCCACATTACTCTGGCACTGGTAGCTGTTTGAGGCCCAATCTTCCCCATGTTTGGAGATGTCAGGAACCTTCACAGGTGTTAGCTGGTGGGTAACAGGTTGGTTCTGGTGGTAGGATTGGTGGTTGGATGTTGTTGAGACTGTGAATCTTCTGCCAGCTCTTGTTATCAGCCTTACAAACCGATGTGTAATGACTATCATTTCACGACAGTACCCCCCCAAAGGGAAGAGCGTACTACGCGAATGAAAAATGATCAGCCATTTACACATCTATGGACTCACTACTTTCAGCTTGCTCATCACCTTCAGTCTGTGAATTATCAGACAAGGGATGGCGGCTCACTAAATCTGCTCTGAATCAAAGGGTTGACCAAACCAACCTCTCAGAGACAGATGAAATATATACAATAATGACAATTCATGTGAAAATAGAGAAACCTATGACCACTATACCATACTACTGAACAAGGAATCTATATAGAATCAGTCGATGGCCCTGAAGACCTAAGACGGATGACTCCATCCATGTATCACTGATCCCTGCCAGGTACATGCAAAGGA